ATCTAATAAAATTAATACAAACTATACAAACGGGTCTATTGGAAATAAAAAGTGGCCTCGCTCCACCACGTTAGAAAAACGACGTAAATAATTAAATTATCCAAAATTTTACGTAACGTAGTATTCTACCACGAAAAGATGGCGTGTTGGTCCACACTGACATAACACGTATTTAAAAACAAAAACTTGTCTATTATTTTGTAATGACCTTAACTATTTTTTAATAAATTAGTCATATACGTAAATAATCCCCTGAATATAATTTACAAACATCTTTTAGACTATCAGTTACACTAGAACTGGTCACTTTTATTGCGTCAACATTAACAACTATCTCTAGTTTCATTATGAATTTAATTCTTAAATTTTAGATAAAAGATATTATATTCTTCTTAGAATACAAAATTTCAATCTATTGTCATTATTTTAAATCGATAAATTATTTAAGTATTATATTATCTAAAATTCTACATTCAGATTTTTAGTATAAATTTGTTTAAATTTTTGAAAATATTCGTCCTATTGTCTTCATTCAAGCAGATTTACGACCAAAGTAGTTATTCCTTTCTTGTCTTAATTCTAGATCATTAGAAGCAGTTTTATTATTATTAAATTATTAGAATCATTCTTATGTATATACCTCTATTGTAGTAAACCTTGAAACAGGGACAGTAGATTCACCCGCCTTGACCCCTTTTGTTTTTACCTTTTCTGTTACTGTTTAGATAAAAAAGGGAAAACAGAAAGGTCAAACAAAAACTATAAAAATATGTAGCAAAATATGTATCTATTAACGGCTTTTCCAATTAGTGTAGCTTTGACATTCAAAACAATATGTTTTTATTAAGATATCCTTCGGTCAGTTTACTTGTTTAGACATCAATTAATAATATAATTTTCAAGTTAGATTTACATATAGTGCAGCATACGATGCTCTTCTTTAAGTTTATTTTAACTCTGCCAATAAAAATTTTAAGGAGGGGGGGTGCAAGTAGGGTCCCTAAGTGGGTAGCCACATTACCTCTCGTGGGCCCATGAGGTTGCCCCCTAGAGCAAGGAAGGGGTATATAACGCCCTGCAGCATTTGCGCATTATCAGGAATGTTGCATGTGCCCCCGGCAGGGAAAAATTATTGCTAGCCCATTAAAATCTTTGGAAAAATGAACTTTATTATTAATGAAAAAAAAAATACAATATACACATGTATCACTTATTTGTAAAATCTGTTTGCTCTTAAGTAAGATTATGTTATAGGGTTGTTTTATAGTTAATAATACTCTAAATTGCAATCGTTTTACTGTTGTTCGACCTGATGCGTCTGGTTTTAGTTGTCTTATAATAACAATATCAGGAAGTACACTTGTTGGTTCGTTACAAATGTAAAAGATTTCATTGAAACGACGACATAATTGGTCAAGGGTATTATTATTATAAGTTTTTTCATTTATTCAAGAGTATTTTAAAACGGATTTGCCTCGTCGAACCCTTATAAGGTAGATTTAATTCTATGTTTATACATCTGATAGGTCTGACTCTTAAGACTCATAAAAACCCCATAGGGCAATGCTCCTTTTTTTTGGTGGGATTTTCATGAGGAATCTACGGAGAAATTCCTATATCGGCGTACCCCTCATTAGCCACATGAAGCCCGCACGCTACACGCCCCTTATAAAGTCTAGTCGGATACGTTCGTGTTGTTTTTTTCTACTGGAACCTTAAGATCCTAAGCATAGACATATATTAATGGACGTTCCTTAGCCGTATGTNAAAATTTTTACTTTTTTAACGTGTTTTATTATTTTAATAAACAATTTTACAATTTGCGTGCACAGTTCCTATGTAAATTTTTCCCTCATTCGAGTTATAAATTTTGCCACCAGATGGTGTATGCCCATTTGACGAAAATCCCAATGTTAACTTACCAACAATTTTAAAAGTAAAACTTAACTTATTAATACTGTTAAGAAAATGTGTTAACTACATTGTCATCATCCTGTATGTCGCTTAAATGTATCAACAACGTAGTAATAAGTAAAAACTGCAATAGTAAATAATACAGAATGTTTATCTTAAATAATTAGGTCGTTTAACATAAACCAAGTCAATAAACAGCCAATATCATTCACAATAACATTTTTTAATCAAAGTCAAGGTAATGCAATTTCTATTTTTGTTTAATCTGCTTCCGTTTTTATCGATCCCATACATAGCTGGCCGTGACCGACGTTGCCACATAGGGTATTCGCTTTCTAAAAGAGAATAAACTTAAAAACCGCTAATAACCATATCTTGTAATTAAAATATTATGGGCTTCATGTAATATATCCATAAAAATAAATAAGGCAGGTACATTTAAATAATATTTATTAAATTACGTAAATTACTAAAAGGTTTTAAATTAAATTTGAAAAAAATACATCAAAACCTCTATAACTCGAACGTCAAGGGAGACGCCAAAAAAATCGAGTTATAGAGTTTTCGACTTATGGAGGATTTCGACTTATTCTTACTAATTTTCAGTTAGAGAAGTGAAATAATTAAAAATTCAACTTAGTTTTCTTTGAACTATAGACATGATAAGTTTCAAATTATTGAGTTGTAAAGGTTGTAAAATAAAACATTGCTGTGTTCGAAATACAGAGGTCCAATTTAATTTTCGAGTTGTAGAGGGAAAATATGTACCAAAATGGATGCAGGGATTCACTGATTATTTCGACTAGTAGAGGGTTGAGATTTCGAGTAATGCAGATTTTGGGGCTTGATGGGAAGGGAACAAAACATTTTTTCGAGTTTTGGTGGTTTTCGACTTATCGAGGCTCTACTCTATTCTTATTATAGGTAGTAGTATTTTTTCCGACCTTTAAAAAGATTATATGACGAAATTTCTTTTAGGTATTGTATGAAGTTTCACTACTCATACTGTCAGTTTCTTCATTAGGAATATGACACTCTTCGGATTCCTTATGAAGAAGCTGACAGCATCAACAGCGAAAAATCAAGTAAAAACAACCGACCAGTTCGAAACTCGGAGGAAGTGCCTACGTTCGGGAAAGCGTGCACTCAACATTTTCTCGAAATCCATTTGACAACGGCGCAATTTTCACCACGCGAATCTGTAAAGATGGCCGCGTTCGTAGATTCACTCGGACAATCTCATTCCTAGTCCACTTTACTTATAGGATGCTCCGGAAAACTGCATTTGTCATGCACTTACCTTGAGTAGGTACGTCGGTTTGAGTTCGTTTATCACATTCTTCATCTCACACGTGTCGTCGGCCATCGCATTGCCGTATTTCCGCGAATTGTTCTCGCCCGACAGAAAAACAACGTAACGTTTAAAGGCGCATGGTCGAACTAATCGCGCCGGTATCGAATCACATATGTTCAACGAGGTTTTTTATAGGTTCACGAAACTTAATACCTACTTAAGCAATCATCAATTTTACAACGATGTTTACTATTATTAGTGAGTAGGTACCGAGTTGCTTCATAAACAAATATTTAAACTGGTAGGTGCAAGAGAAAGTGCCTACTTATACAATGAATATGTTTTCCTGATGTTTCTACATCTCTTTGCTTCCTAAATGGAAACTTACCGTTTTTATTAATTCTTGTGGAATGTATTAGTTTTACCATAAACTAACGTAATATACAGGGCAACCGTTACTAAATAATTGAAGATAAAAGTGTAGTTGTACCTAGGATCCGCATTCGTCCCAGTTTTCTCGGAGTAGTCGCAGTTTAGGGGGTGTCTTGGCGGATTTTTGTATGCAATTTAGGTTTTAAAATTTCACTCGCCACACACCCGTACCAAAATTCTGATCAGTGCTGATCCATATTGAGCTATTAAAAATACTCGTATTTCAGTTAAAAATCATATAATTTCTTTTTATAATATCGATTTCCTATATCTTCAATTCTTAATCTTTTCCCGGTTAGTCAGAAGAAATTATACTACAACCTGGACCCAAAAATCATCCAATTCCTGTCATCATCATTATAAGGTCGTCAGTACTAAGACTGGTTGGACACGCACCTCCACTCTTTCCTATCCTGAACTAATCTTCACATTTCCCTAAAACTAGAACAACCCACATCCTTAACTATTTGCGAACAGTAATCTAATCTAGGGTAGAGGACCCCTCCTAACTTCGTTTCTGCCCTTTATATGTCTCTGACTAGACCTTCATGCCTGAGAAGGTGTCCTACCAACCTACCTCGCCTTTTTTTTATTAACTTCCATAAAGTCCTATGTTCTCCTATTCTTTCTAATACCTTTTAATTTCTGACCCGCTCTATCCACGGTATCCTCGTTATTCACTGGTGACACCACATTCTCCACCTTCTCAGACATGAAAGAAAGACAGGAGTAAATAGTACAGTAGACTTAGATTAGATTACTCTTCGCAAATAGTTAAGGATGTGGGATGTTCTAGTTTTAGGGAAATGCGAAGTTTAGCTCAGGATAGAGGTGCGTGTCCAACCAGTCTTAAGAGCTTATGATGATGATGAACATTCTAGCCTTTTTTACTGTTAACTATCTTACTCGTCCTCAAAGTCCCAATGAAATGTAATTATGAAGTACAATTGTACTAAAATTCAGTATAAATTTCAGACGAATTATAAAAGTCCTTTTACAGTTACCCCAAATATATCGTGAATTATTCTTTTATTTTTTCATTTTTATTATAGTCTGAAACTCCAAAAATGAATTAAAAAATTTTTTTAATTAATATTTACCACAGTCTCTTCCAAAAATAAATTTCATAATCAAATTAAAAATAAGTGTAAACTCATTATGGTAGGTGCATTTTTATTTTTATTTACAGTAAAAGTAAAGAACATTAATACTTATCACATTAGCAACTACATGATCCACTATGAAAATATTTACAAAAAGTGTTTTCTTTAAGTAAGCATCCTTAAAAAAATTTGGATTATTACTGGAAATGTTCTTATATCATTCATAAATCTGTCTGTGAAAAAAGTGCCTTTAAAAATAGGTAAAGAGTTACAAAAAAAACTGTTAAAAGGTGAATTTAGAATTAGATGCAATATGTCCTACAAACAATATGCAGATGCAGTAGACTGCTACGATCTCTTCCCTATTCGCACTGGCAGATGTGCGGATACTGCATCTAACTCTTCACTTGTATTACAGCCATTACAATTTTACCAGCACTTTCACGAAATTTCTTCATTTATTGTAAAACAAAAAAAATATGTACCTATTTACTTCATATGATAAATAAATCTGGATAGTACCCAGAAAATAAGTGAAGGAACTCTTGGCCTACTTCGCCTAAATAACCGCTACTATTTGAAAAGTTAATTTTCACAATTTCGAACCCTATCTATAAGTGAGATTTTTTTAACTTATTAAAAATATTGCCGTTCTATCTATCACAATTTCTGCATTTGACCTTTATGGGGGAAATCCTCATCGTCGTACCATTTTTGTTGTTTTGCTGATTGCTAGAAAGGGAAACAACAGGTCACATCAACATTGACTTTTATATCTATGTTTTTCCTAATACTGTTTATTATTGCTGGAGTATTTTCAAGTACAATCACAAATTAGTGCCTTTCTCGCTATCTTTGTACCACTCGTCACTTATATAATCGAAGTGAACAGTTGCAACAGAACCAGCTCTAAATGGAAAATCTGAAATATAAACATTTCTTGGTCGTAAAACTTAAATTAATATATGTACACCTGCATAGGGGGAGAAGTACAATACAACTGTAGGGATAGATATATATAGGGGTAAAAAAGAAAATGCTTCTAACCTTTGATGATGATGAGGATACCGTGGATAGAAAAGGTTAAAAATGAAGAAGTATTAGATAAAATAGGAGAAAAGAGGACTCTATGGAAGTCCATAAAAAATAGGCGAGATAGCCTGGTAGGACACCTTTTCAGGCATGAAGGTATAGTCAGACACATATTAAAGGCAGAAACGGGAGTTAAGAGGGGTAGAGGTATAACTAGATTAGATTACTGCTCACAAATAGTTAGGGAATGTGGGATGTTCAAGTTTTAGGGAAATGCGAAGTTTGGCTCAGGATAGGAAACAGTGGAGGTGCGCGTCCAACCACTCATTACAATTACTCAAATTACAATCATTTACTAATCGAAAATTAAGGTAACTTAACAATTGCTAGAATGGTTGCAAACTTAGGTACTTAAGATGAGTCACTAGTTAAGTAGGAATTTGTTTTGTAATAATTTACTATGGACCTTCAAAAACAAAGTGTTTCAACAAGATGTTTCACTCACCTTTAAGTGACTGAATCAAATCTTGATCAGTTTTTGCAAAAATGCATTTATCTGAACACGCGCCACTTAGTACTCTTTCGACGTCGACTACTGCATTCACAATGACCAAGGATTTGCCATTTTTTTCAAGATCGTTGCAGAGGGAAGCGACACCCTAAATAAAACAACTTATTCAATATACGTATATTGTGCTCCAATATGCAAATAGATCAACAAAAATTAATATCAATCATATTTCAAAATAGCAGTATCGATATTTAATACGGTGACTAATAAATAATTAAAACTCTGTTTGAATACACCCTAGACAATTCCAGAAGGCGATAGAAAGAAGGCAAGAAAACTGTTCGATGGTTTTAATCCATCAATTTTGAGGAATGTTGGACAAAATGGCAAAAGATTTTTCTTTCAGTTTGATAGTTTAATGGGGATTTCGCATTCTTAATTGACCGACCGCCAAAACTCTCACCGGCTTCTGATCAACACGATCAACCATTAACACACTAATAGCAAATAACTCAGAATTCGATTTATAGACGAAACTTCTTGAAAAATTCTTTAATAAAAAGCCAAAATTTCTTATCTACCAAAGGATCAACTTTTAACACTCTTTAGGGAACTCGATGTATTAACCTACCAACATTTAGCACTCTTCGGCATTTACTGTGAGAGTATAAACTTTTGACAGTCTCTACAGTTTCTAAACAGCCTAGAACTTGGTTGACCACAGAATCAACTGTAAGCATTTAAATAGCCTAGAACTGAATTTACCTATGGACCAAGCTTTAGCTTTCTTTGATGAATAGACAAAAACTACATTTTCTAATGAATCAACTTTTAACACCCTTTAGTGAACAGCCTAAAACTAGATTTACAGACAGACCAACTTTTAACTATTTTTAGTAAATATGGGTAAATAAACTAACATACGATTTACTAACGGACCAACTTTTAACGTTCTTTAGTAAATAGCCATAGCCTAATAGCTAAAATAACAATTTCATACCAGATCAACGTTTAGCACTGTCATATCTAAGTAGCCTAAAGCTCAACTTCCTGCAGGTTCAACGATTAGTACATTGTGCTATCCAAATAGCCTTAAACAAAATAACTTACACTGGAACTTTCAACACTTTTTCGTACCTAAATATCCAGGAACACCTCAGGATAAACTTTAAACACTTTCTGGTATCCAAATAACCTTGATCTGAATCTATCACACGATCAACTGTTAACACTCTTTAAGACCTATATAGTATAGAACTCAACAAACTCTCTTTAGTGAATAGATTTATTAATGAATCAATGTTTAACACTCTTTAGTGAATAGCCTAGAAGTAAATTTACTGACAGATCAACTTTTAACTCTTTAATCTAAAACACGATTTACTATAACGGACCAAATTTTAACGTTCTTTAGTAAATAGCCCAATAGCTAAAACGCAGTTTCATACCAGATTAACTTTTAGCACTATATTTAAATAGCTTAAATCTCCATTTCCCGTAGGATCAACAATTAGCACACTCTACTGCGCCTTAAACAAAATTACTTACCCTGGAATTTTCAACACTCTTTCGTACCAAAATAGGCCTGAACTCCATCCATCACAGGATAAACTTTGAGCACACTCTGGTATTTAAATAACTTAGAACTCAATTATCACACAATTAACTGTTTGCACACTTTCAGACCTAAGTAGTATAGAACTCAATTTACTAACAAACACTCTAGTGAATAGACTAAAACAATTTATTAACGATCAAGCGTTTATAGTCGTTAGTAAATAGCCTACTTCTTGATTTCCTCCAACATCAATTTTTAGCACACTTAAGTGTCTATGTGGCCTAAAACTCAATTTCCCACAGGATCAACTACTCTCTAGTATCTAAATAACCTCGAACTCAATTTATCACACAATCAACTGTTAGCACTCTTTTAGACCTAAGTAATATAGAACCCAATTTACTAACAAACACTCTGGTGAATAGACTAAAACAGTTTATTAACGATCAAGCGTTTATATTCCTTAGTAAATAGCCTACTTCTTGATTTCCTCCCAGATCAATTTTTAGCATACTCAAGTGTCTAAGAAGCCTTAAACTGAATTTCCCACAGGATCAACAATTAACACACTGTAGTAACCAAATTCCAGTGTAAGTAATTTACAACAAAATAACTAACACAGCAACTTTCAATACTGTTTTGTACCTGAATAGCCTACATACAACTCTATCAAGCATAATCTTAACTTTTAACACTTTTTAGTTCATACACAACCTAGAACCTGATCTACAACTAAAGCATTTTATACCACTCGTTTCTAGAATTTGGTTTATTAACGAAAGAAATTATAACTTCCTTTAGCAAATATGTAGAATTCAATGTACCAAAGGACAAGGTTGTAGTACCTACTCTTTACGAAACCGCGTCAAATCAGATTCGCAGTCAGCTTGGGAACAAGATTTAGCTTTAAACTCACCTTTGCTGATGTGTAGTCCACTCTACTAATGTGGACACAATCTATCACAACGGTTTGAAATTTGTCAGTTTTATTGTTCGTTGTCTGAACGATTTTTTCTCTCAAGTTTTCAATCGCCGGGAAGAAAACTGCCGAATCGGGCATTATCTTTAAGTAGTTATGAGAATCGTTCTAGAAAAAAAAATTTTCTTATACAATAGGCACTACATTCTTTTTCAATGCTACGTCATTTAAATATACTTAGACGATATAAATTGTTATTACCATCACTTCTTCAATCTCCACTCTAGGTCTAGCACTATAATACAAAAGGAATAAAGCGTCTACTACAACCCCAGCAAGAATCCCTTTTTCAATTCCAATTATCAAGCAGGCAACTAGAGTGACCACTAATGGGATCATATCGATTTCTACAAAACATATCGATTGCTAAATTAGTCTTAGCTATATATGTACATACACCATATGTATTTCATTTTTTTTTTTTTACTTACTGTTAATTTTCCATAAGGGTTTAACAATGGAAACCTCCACCATAAAAATTACAGCGCATATTATGACTGAAGCTAAGGTAGCTTTCGGAATGTAGGTGAAATACGGGGTCAAAAATGTCATGGACAAAACTACCATAATGCCTATAAGTATTACATTATCAATTATTACGAATCAAGTAGACTATCTACAGGAAGATTGTTAATTGATTGGTACGAAAAGAAAAGGATAGAACCGTTCGAAACGAGTGGTGTTACAGGCGAATAATGAAGATACCGTGGATAGAGGTTAGAAATGAAGACGTATTAGAAAGAATAGGAGAACAGAGGACTCTATGGAAGTCAGTAAAAAATAGGCGAGATAGGTTGGTAGGACACCTTCTTAGGCATGAAGGTCTAGTCAGAGACATATTAGAAGCAGAAACAGGAGTTAAAAGGAGGAGAGGTAGATTTAAATGTGATTGCTGTTTATAAGGAGTTAAGGATTGGGTGTTTGCCGTGTTTCCACGAGCAGTATTTTCTCAGAATGTTTTTGGATGAATGACCAAAGTGAATAAAACTCCAGTGTAAAATAAAACTATGTACACACTTTATTTACAACACTTACACATATGCAGAACATGAAAACAATATAAAAACGGAAGACAGAATGACAAAATTAGCAACAAAAAATAGAACTGGTTAAGCTGAACGACAAAACTTAACTTTCTGAACTGAACTACTACAAAATGGAATAAAATCAAACCTATAATATTACAACCACCAGTACCTGCGAGAACAAAAGCTAAAGAAAGTATAGGAAAAGACCCAAAAATACATAGATATCATTACAGTGTAATGCAATTAAATAAGGGTAGTTGATCGACGAAGCCTTCGTAGAATTTATCTATTGGGACCAAATGTTTTGAGAAGCCCCAACAGGGTGATATTTGTAATAATGAAGATTCGTATACTACAGCAGCTAATGTTAAATCTCCCAGTAATTTCTATGAATATGATAAAGTGTACCATGCTTAATATTACATACTTATCCCTAATCTTAATAACTATAAATGAAATGAAACTGTAACATTGGGATGTTCTAGTTTTAGAGAAATGCGAAAAATTAGCTCCAGGATTGTAAAAAGTGGAGGTGCGTGTCCAACCAGTTTTAGGACTACCTAACGATTTTATAATGATGATGATAAGGGCTTGTAGACTATGGTTTTCATTAGACGGGTGGTATGTTCAAACGAACTGTTAAAACTTTTTAAGCAAAACGTAACACTCCTCAAACATTGCAAATTGCTTTTTTATTTATATGAAAAGATAACTGAATTCCTCTAACCACATTGTATTTTTTGATGAAGAAGATGAAGCCCTTATAACTGCATGTAATAGAATATCCTTACATTCGTCATTATAAACTACTAAAAGAATTAGTGATTATCCTAATCTATCTACTTCACTCACCATTTCTTCAGAAATATTTAATGATTCCTATGTAAAGTGTTCTTTGTCTAATTAGCACTGTGTACTACTCTAAAGACGTTGACCTCAGTAATTAATTTGATATTTTCTATCATTGTATGCTTTCTTACATGATAAAGATGGCAATGAGTAGATTATTGAAAGAACTTTTCCAACTAGTGTAAATAAAATTGTGATTGTTTAATATTGTAAAATGTACGAATTTGCATACCTAGATACCTACAATGACACTAGTAAACAATTAGGAAAGGTTTCAAAATGGCCTTATAGTTCATTTTCCTCTACCTACTTACTAGTATAAATTCCTGCAAAAGGAGTTCTCGTTCCACTCGCGTTACTCACTGCAGCCCTCGAAAAAGATGCATTTACAGGCATTGAACTTAAGAAAGAACCAAATAAACTGCAAAAACCAACCGCTAACATTTCTTGTGTTGCATCGACCACTTTTCCCTGTGCTGAAAGTTACATTAAAATTAGAGCGATCAGGGACATCTCAAAAGGGTGCATCTCGTGATCACATTCTTAAGCCCCACCCTACCCTCCTCTCTATGGATATTATTGATTCTATAAAGGGCTCTTGTTCTGGCTGCCTTAAGTATTACTTTGAAGGATTCGATGCCCATGAGCATCCCTTTAATCGAAACCCATAAACATCTCCTTAATCGATGCCTAGGAGTATCCCTTTAATCTACGCCTAGGAGTATCCCTTTAATTGGTACCCATGAGCATCCCCTAATCGATGCCCAGGAGCATCTACTCAATCGATGCCCAAGAGCATCCCTTTAAACGATGCCCATGAGCATCCCTTTAATCAAAAACCATGAGCATCTCTTTAATCGATGCCTAGGAATATCACTTGAATGGATGCCCATAAGCATCCCTTTAATCGATGCCTAGGAGTATCCCTTTAATTGGTACCCATGAGCATCCCCTAATCGATGCCCAGGAGCATCTACTCAATCGATGCCCAAGAGCATCCCTTTAAACGATGCCCATGAGCATCCCTTTAATCAAAAACCATGAGCATCTCTTTAATCGATGCCTAGGAATATCACTTGAATGGATGCCCATAAGCATCCCTTTAATCGATGCCTATAAGCATCCCTTTAATTGATGCCTAGGAGCATCCCCTCAAACGATGCCCAGGAGCATCCCTTTAATCGTTGTCCATGAGCATCCCTTTAATCGTTGTCCATGTGCATCCCTTTAATCGATGCCCAGGAGCATCTCCTCAATCGATACCTAGTACCGCCCCTTCAACGATTCCCAATAGTATCCCTTTAAAGGATGCTCAGTCGAACCCAGGAGCATCCCCAGAGCCGGGATAGAAGTATTTATATCCCATCCCAATTCTCCTCAACAACAAACCTCTTAATTTGGTTAAGTGGAAAGGGTCACTCAAAAAAGGAATGCGAAACATTTGTCTACTTACCAAACGCTTTTGCAATCGCAATGTTGCTCAATATTGCAATAAAAGGCGTAACGAAAATACCAGAACCTAAATATTTAGCCATGTCTGTTATCGTGTATGTTTCATTATTATTCGAAACGACAGTAAATGGTGGTGGAGTAAGTTGTGGTAAACCGGAAGACACTTTGGCTGAAAATAGAACAAAATTGCTACTAACGTTTTTTAATTAATCAAAAAGTTTCAGAACAGGGCGATTTGGAAAGACAAAGCCTCCGATAGGTTTGATCATTTGTTTAGGTCTTTGCTTTCGTAAATTGGCCCAAGAATATTCAGGAAGATAATATAAATCTTCTTAGTCTTATTTGCAAGGAAGCAGCTAAACTACAATAGAACTGTACTCCTTTTTTTGATAGGACAAGTCACGAAAATTTTCGCAATTGATAAAAATGCTGTTCAAATCCATGTTTATAAGCTATTAACGAAATACCTTATACAGTATATGCTAAATGATTACAAGAATATCGTTATGAATTTCCCACTATAAATAAACAAAATCGTTGTGGAATTCCGTCCTTTTCAATGGTTTTTATGTCGTTAAATATTTACGAATGAATTAATTTTGCTTTTTTGCATAATTATCGTAGTAATAAAATTTTTATTTTGTCATCAAAAAACCATTTGTACTATTTTTTTTCCACATTGGGAAACTCCGAATTGTTTTTTTTTACTCAGCCCTAAACATGCATCCCTCAAACCTTTAAAGATTACAATTTTCTCTTTGGTTTCATCTTAATAACTTAATATATCTGGTGATGCAACAGTTAGGACAAAATATCGACCTTTAACATCAATTAACCATAAACCTTTCGTGAATTCTAGTTCCCTCCCATACACCTGTTTTTAATTAGGGTTAAAATTTTCGGTATGTCGAATTCCCTCCCAATTATACATCAATTGCCTCCCAACGGCGGCGGATAACCTTGTTTTACTAGATTTTCAATGTGAAATTCATGTTAAAATACGAAGTGTTCCACCTAATTTTAAAAAATTGCTAACAAGACAAACTAAAACTAATAAAGTTTTTCTAGATGATTGCATCATAAAGCTAGACACACACGAATTTCCAATTTGTTAAGGTAGTGGGAAACCATTTTAAAATTAAATAATAAACATTTCATAACTGATATGTGTTTTCTTTCTGAAATTATTTTATCTTTAATTTACTGAAGTACTGAAGTGCACTATAAATATATATTTATTTTCGATAAATAAAATCGGTAAGTAGTCGTTAACTTAATTATCGGAGTTGATATCAACGGGAAGGAACTCGGCTAGTACCCGGGAGGGAATCGATTTTCTATATTTTAACCAAAACTACCTGCGGGAGGGAATTCGGCATCACCAGATTGTTTATTATTTCAGGGGAGTGTTTTCTTTAACACACTCAACTCCTTATAACGCCGGAGAATACGTGGTTGTGTGTAAAAATAAATTGTTACTTACACGTTAGAGAAAACGGTTTTGATTCATGCAAACTAAATGTGTAGGCCATTACAGCGCAAAGTAGTACCACAACTGCATTTCTTGAAACTGATAAAAACCAAACAAAAGTTTTCAGTATGCTCTTTAAATCGCGACTGCCTTCTTTACTTTCACTAACTGGAGGGGTTCCATAATCCTTAATTTGCTAAAATCACAAAACAAATAAATCAGAATTTTTCTTTTTGAGAACTTTTATCACACAAAAAAAATATTTGTAGTGTAACCCACACTTTTCGTACTACAGATCAAATAGATAGACTCAAATCTATAAATAAAACTTTTCGTATTATAAATCAATTTGGCTTGGTCAGTATTAATTTGAAATTAATAAACAATATTATTTTATCGTGTTTAAAGATTTTTACTACGTCTGCGATTGTCAAATATATACCTACACAAAATAAGTTTACCTTCTGGGCTTTGTCGGACAATAGAGGACTTAACTAATCATATTTAACAATAAAACTTTTGTAAAATTATATCATTTTTCAGTAGTTGCTCTAAGACAACTTTTACGCTATCATCTACAGTGGTATACTTTTTCCTTCTATTTGGAGTGAACAAAATACAGTCTTGTTTTTGTATGATTATTAGGCTGTGCCAAAAAAACTCGATATTTTTTTTCTTGCTCTCCGTTTAAAACATCGTAAAATATGTTTAAACAAATATCCTGTTAGAAGCGGAGCTCATAATTTCAATTTTAAGAAGTCCATCATCGAATCTGAAATTTTACCGTTTAAAAAACACAGAAAAATGATTTTTTTACCGTATTTATTCCTGCAACCCAGGAAGAAATTTTTTTTCTATAAAATCCATGGCTGTATCTTATAGTACACTAAATTTGGAAAAAAGAATTTCATTGAGCCGAATTTCCATTTTCATTATTTGATTTTTTTACAGAGCTTTGAAATCAAAATTTTCCGTTTTTTGCTTTTTTCAGCTAAACTATTAAAGTTAGACGAAAAAGTTAAAAAGTTGAATAGCAATATTGTAGCTTATTTGATGTCCTACAAAAAAGTTATATATATATTTTTTTGTATCGTCAATACTTGAAAAGTTACAGGCGTGTAAAGTCATTATTTTTGTATCATTAACTTTTTGTAAGTAAAATATTGATGTTTGCATAAAAATCCAATAAAAAATAATGAAAATGGAAATTCGGCACAATAAGATTTTTTGTTCCAAATTTAGTGTACCTACTATAAGATATAGCCATGGATTTTATAGAAAAAAAGTTTCATCTTGAGTTGCAAGAATAAATACGGTAAAAAAATCATTTTTCTGTGTTCTTTAAACGGTAAAATTTCAGATTCGATGATGGACCTCTTAAAATTGAAATTATGAGCTACGCTTCTAACAGGATATTTGTTTAGACATATTTTACGATATTTTGAGCGGAGAGCAAGAAAAAAATATATCGAGCTTTTTGGTACAGGCTAATGATTATCTTATAATATTGTGAACCATCATACAAGATTTTCGTAATTTCGTATATGTTAGGGTGACACTTTCCAACTCTTTTATCCAATAGCACGATAGCAAAAGAGTAGGTGACCAAACAGGAATGCATTTTTCGTAGGTGACGAAACAGGAATCGACGAAACAATAAACTACCGTTAAGATTATTACGAAAATACTCCATAAGATCACTTGAAAACTGGTTTCAGAGTTTCTTTCTTAATGAAATAGGTCCATTTGAATATTAATATTCAATCCAACTATTTGAATAATGTACCTACCCTTAAAAGAAGAAGTACCGAACAGCACACGATACTCAAAACACCATCCCACAGTTTTGCTTCTGAAATATGTTCGAAAACATTTTTCCAAATTTCAATAAAAGTTTCTCCGTTAAAACTGAGGCCCATCAAGTTCTTCACTTGAGCAGAAGCTATAGTTATTGCTCCAGCTGACGTAAAACCAGCTACCACCGGGACTGATACGAAATCAACAAGGAAACCTAAAAATTTCATCAAACATTACGTTTTTATTGTTAGTAAAATTATGACACCGATATTATAAGCGAATAATTAATTTTATTAGAAAAACCGATGAGGTAAGAAATATGAAAAAATAACAATTTGCAAAAGATTCTGTGCGATGGCCGGGAATCGAACCCGGATCAACTGCTTGGAAGGCAACTATGCTGACCATTACACCACCATCGCAATCTATTTATAGGAATAATAGCGGAAAAGATGAGCAAAATTGAATGTCCGTTCTCCTTTCGAGTGTTCTACTTTGTAGTGTCTTCTTCTCAAGCAACTGCGTACAGGCCTGACGCTCGAAGCTGGCGGAAATTTTAAAATGGTGTAGATGCGCGGTGGCAAAAGTAGGTCTTTTAGTTCTTCAGTATTCCTATCAAGGGTGTACATTAAATATTTAAAAGCAGGGATCAGTTTACAATATGTATGTATAAATTCAATTTGTAATACTTAATATATCGGCACACCACGATTACCCCCGTTTTGTTTAGTTTAATCTGGCGATTCTTATGTAGTGATTTACCCCCGTGAATAAGAGATTGAGATACGCTCAATAAGGTGCGGAAACCAAAGCTATAGCGCTACCATTTTTATCTGGGAGGTGTGTGGGACCTCATAAAACCCTCTAGTGCAGGAGGGACTTATCTAATCCCTAGCAGGCTTAATAACCTTGGTACCCGAGCGAATATACACCCCTTACATGTAGAGATGCACGTTCTCTCCCCTACCATTATAGATATGACCACTACCACTACACGGGTCCAACCCCAAACCACCGAGCAGGTAGGAAGATTTCCTACCTGAGGTTTCAAGCTTCCCATAGTCCCAGTCTTCATCACTGGTCAAATATTCGAGGAACCCATTTCCTCCCAGTTCGGGACTGGTAACCATTTCGGGTTTATGACTTAGCAGGCTTGGTACCCGAGCGAATGTACACCCCTCATATGTCGAGGTGCACCTACTCTCCCCCACATGGGGGGTATGACTACTACCACTACTGGTCTAATTCGTATATATATCGTAATAGCATCGCATTAACATTGCTAAGGAGCTGTTGGACTCTGTCCGCGACGACCCTAATTTGCTCCAGATGGTCATAACTGGTGACGAATTATGAGTTTGTCGTTATGACGTGGATACCAAAGCTCAGTCATCCTATTGGAAGCTGCTACACGAACCAAGACCGAAAAAAGGCTCCAAGTTAGGTAGAGTGCTGTATCATGAGTTCTTGACACAGGGTAGAACGGCGAATCAGGAATATTACCTGCAAGTTATTCACAATTTGCGGGAAGGAATCCGTCACAAACGCTCAGATTTGTGGAAGAACAAAAATTGGTTTTTGTACCATGATAACTCCCCTGCTCATACATCGTTGCTTGTGCGCGAATTTTTGGTCAAAAACAACACACTAATAATGCAGCAGCCACCTAATTTCCCAGATCTGAAGAAACCCATGAATGGGCTACGCTACACTACGATTGAATAGATGAAGACGGTATCGAAGGAGGAGTTGAACAATATCACGAAAAATGATTTTCTGAAGTGCTTCGACTCGAAATTCGACCCTTCGCTGTTCATTGTTTTATGAAAAGTATGACATTCAAAAATTGCAAAATATAGCACACACTATTTTTTTAAAATAAATGAAGAAACAAACACCAAGGAAATAATTAGCGTACAACCTTATTGTTATTGTTTATAACTTACCTAAATGAAGTATTCCACAAACTAATTCTATCAATCCAGCAAAGAAACATAAAAGCACCGCGGCATTTGCTGCCCCAAAAGGTGCACCGTTTGTATACGTAAAAGTTAAAAGTGATAAAAGAGCAGTAGGGGCTATGTTAAGTTGAGGAATTGTACCAAAAACTGCGTAAATTACCCCTCCACATAAAGACGAATACAATCCATACTGTAATGAAAAATTGGAGGTAGATAATTAGATACTTTTTTTCTGTTAAAATTTGTAATGGCTAGTAAAACAGTTACACTAATTAACATGTTTCATCTAGTAAAATAACTAATTACAGGTACTAAATTCATCTGAAAAATTTTATTTTTATGTAAAGTGTTAAACTATACAAATTAATTGCTAAATATTAAAAATCAGATTAAAAATAAATACATTTTACCAATTTAAAATTGTGCGATTTCTAACGGTTTTTATAAATAGTGGGGTTTTTTATTTTTTTTTTCTGATTGTTAATATTTAGCGACATTGTTACTGTTTAACAATTGGACTGATTCAAATTTTGCAGATGTGTCTCATACAGTTTGTTATCTACTAAATATTTTTTGTGCAAACTAATTAGCGCAGAATTACCTATTACGTATTAAACAAGTTTTTCTTCTTTTCGAATTATAAATAGAATATTATTTTGCAAACATCATCTGGTAGAGTCAATAAATGGAATTTAAACGAACAATTAATGTATCCGGAAATTATTATTACAGACGAAAACATATTATGCAACGGAATATAATCATTATGTCACATTTCCGAGCGTATAGATACATATTAAAACATTCTTATGGAAATAATAGCACGTCGTCGGACTTCCCCGACATTGTATTTTGACTTCAGAAAAACCTTCCACATTAATTATTAATGAGAAATAGTTGCTATTTCATAATGTCTTACAGTGTCGTCTCTAGCCTTTGATTAAGGTAGAGCGAGATTGTTTTTCAACGCCCTTTAGTAGGCGCTTTCAATTTACACTTCACAATTTTAATTTGGTTTTATGCTAAATAAATAATAATTACTAATTTTTTTAAATCAATTTGTCGTAAACGTCAACACTTATTTAATTTAGTGGTTGTGCCCAGTCATCAAAACGTAAAACGCGCCGTTAAATCCAGTCTATTCGATTCTTATTTCAAACGAATGATAGAAAGCTCTGGTTTCAGCTATGCACAAAAGAACTGTCACCTATGTAATTTAATTAGAAATGCGTCTTGTGGAGTAGATTCAAGACTAATGCAGCCGCTTTGAATAGTTAGATTTAGCTTTTGATAAAATTAAACTTTATCCATATGCAATTGACGGAAATCTACTCCGTAAATTTTACTGAACTCAGTAAATGTGTTAGTAGTAATTGGATTTTATTTATTTATTAATTTACCACAGTCTCCCTGTTTCTATTTCGTGTTTGTATGTGTATATTTATTCTAGGTATGCACTTATGTGATAGAATTATGAAGAACTTTTCCTTTGTTTTAGGTGAATGTTAATTGAGACTTACCTCGGGTCCCAAACCTGCCAAAGCTGCATACGCAATGGATTGCGGAATCAGGGTAAGTCCTACAGTTATTCCTGCGATGAAGTCACAAACTGCATTTTCCGTGTTGTATTGACGAAACCAAACGACAGGGGGAAAAATACTCTTTAAATTTATCTTCGGTTTCTTTATAATCATTCTGGCCTATTCTTTTAACTGTTGCAACCGACTGGACTCAGAAATTTCTGTCTGAAACAATGCAAGAAATAGACAGTAAAAATTAAATCACATTAAATAAATTTGATCGTTTTTTACGAATAAAATACCTAACAAAACATCTATCAAGCGTGTCGATTTCAATGGATTGTAAAACGATTCATTGCTAATGCATTTTTTTTATGAGAATATACTAATATCAAAACGTAATATGAAAAAAAACAGGTCTAGAAAAATTTTTAACATGCATGTTTATTTATACATCTAATAAAACGACAGATATAGAATTTGTTCTATAACAAAACGATACAAAACTACTGGATACATAACACAACTCATAAATTAATCTTTTAGAGCTTTTTAAGTAATTGAAAGTAGTAAAAAAACACCGAAAAAAAAATTAGTTTGTTTCTATTTATAGATCCCTTTTTTCAAACAATGGCAAAGTTTCTTTTTTATATTTAGCAAACTGAAAATTTCAAATACAAAAGACGTTTTATTTCAAGAAAAAAATTTATGAATGTTGCTTCAAATAGTGTAAATCATAAATCTACCGGAATTAATACTTTTTTGTTTAGTTTTTCGTATTTGACAGTCTTTGTATCACTGGTATAGACAGTCTTGGTGCTGGTATTGGTTCTGTATTTTCGCAAAACTAAGACAAAGTCTGCAAGTCCATGAGTAATTTTTCTCATCACTAGTTCGGATTTGTAATGTAAGTAAACAATGACTCAGTTACTAAAAATAAAAATTGACAGTCCCTATTCTGTCTCAGTTTTTAAATATCTCACTCTCTTGATCTCGGAAATTTGAGTACTTATGAAATTTGTATTATAATTTTGAATTATCATCATAAGGTCGTTAGTCCTAAGACTGATTGGACAGAATCCAAAGTTTCAAAGAGTTTGACTGAGAGCTATTTTCCGTAGGGATCTAACGGTTTCTAGTTTACTCTACACACTGGCTTCCTATTGCAGTCATCATCATAAGGTCATCAGTCCTAAGATTGGTAGGACACGCACCTCCACTCTTTCCTATCCTGAGCTAATCTTCGTATTTACACAAAACTAGAACAACCCACATTCTTAACTATTTACGAACAGTAATCTAATCTAGGTCTACATATACTCCTTTTAATTCCTGTTTCTGCCTCTAATATGTCTCTGACTAGACCTTCATGCCTGAGAACTTGTCCTACCAACCTATCTCGTCTATTTCTTAGTGACTTCCATAGAGNAGAAGGTGTCCTACCAACCTATCTCGCCTATTTTTTATTGACTTCCATAGAGTCCTCTGTTCTCCTATTCTTTCCAATACCTCTTCATTTCTAACCTTTTCTACCCACGTTATCCTCATCATCCGCCTATAACACCACATTTCGAACGCTTCTAACCTTTTCTTTTCCGCCGCCCTTACTGTCCATATTTCGCACCCATACAGCGCCGCGCTGCAAGTATACACCTTTAACAATATTTTTCGAATTTCTAAAATTAACCGTTTGCGAACATAGAAGTGACTTCTTTTTATCGAAGGCGACACGACCCTGCACTATCCTCTGCTTTATAAATCTATTACTCCTTCCGTCCTGACTTATCTGACTTCCTAGATACCTAAAATCGGTCACTTCTTCTTATTATTGGTATCCTATGTTTATATTCGCTCTTTCCCTACTTTTTATTTCCTTACATACCAGTGTTTTGTTTTACTTTTATATATTGTCATACAACACTGTTTTGTCAGTACCACATACATTTTATTTAAAGCTATCTATAATTTTGAATATGTAGTAATTTTGTTCAAAACATCCGTATAGTAAAAAACTGTTGGGAATTGTTGTAACAATAGTCGTATTATAAAAGCATGACTATTATTACATTTATTCTATTTAACTGTTTTGTGTGTTCACTGTAACCTTAATACAAATAGCATTTGAAATTTTCAATTACTACATAAAGAAATGACCTTTGCCTACATATAAAATTGTCCTAAAATATTCCATCCTACAGCATAACAATGGCAATGCCATAAGTACCTATTAAATGTATTATTTCATATTTATAATAAATTGAATCAAAAGTAGCATGTCAATGCGAAAAGTGCTGATAACGTAAGCATCGAATTTTTTATCATCAAGATGTATTTTTTCATTATCAATAATATTCAACGTGGTTGCTAAGCGCCATACTTATCACTGTTTATATCTAGTTAATATATGCAACTAAAAAAAAATCTCATCATACATTGTATTGCAATAAAAAAAATAAAATTTCCTTTTCCATCTAACGGGGACGTTATTTGGTACCCATTAATAAAGTATTTACTATTTAAAGCAATTGGGTAGCCAATAAGTCTGCAAAAACGTGATGGCTTAGAACTTGAAGTGTGTAGATACTATTCAATGAGACTGTCAAATCAATCAATGTATCTAATTAAGTATTGTCTGCTTATGATATGATTTGTCTCGAAATCATGTCGAACAAGAAATAGGAAATTATATAAAAAATTTTATTAGTTCATCAAAATTGTGCATTCTAATTCCACTTGATCACTTTAATCAACTATTAGCCTATGAAATAAAATAAAATTTTAATTGATTGTTTTGTTTGGTTTAACTTCTTAATTCAATTATTTCAAAAAAAAACAAAAATGCTACTGATTTGTCTTTGTTAACTGTCATTTCTCAAAGTCAAAATAGTAGTGTTATAATTATTATTTCGTTAGTGTCAATATATCATCAAAAAATATTAAGTCAAGCAATGAAATCAGTTTTGGAGGTTTTATATAATTTTGATAAACATACGAAAAGATACAAAAAATTAAATTAGTAGATACTCATAGTTGTAGTAAGACAAACTAATCTTTATAATTTCAAAATAAATTGCAAATAAATAACGAAAAAATGTTACGTGTTCTTCTGTTACTTCATTAATTATTAAAAACGATATATATATTATAACAACTTTCTGAACAATTTATACATAATCATNAAATATTTTTGAAAAGTATTTCAAATACAAGAACAAATACTGAGAGTATTTGAGTAGAATATTTTCAATACTTGAATAAGTACTTTACAAGTATGCTTACCTGGTATAAGACATTAAGAGTAGACAGAGAACTAATGAATTTTTTTGATCTCGTATCTATCTTTATACATATATAGCTACCTATATACTCGATTTTGGATTTTTTTTATATGGAGCAAGCCAGTTTGCACGTGATAGCAGCTGGTTAAAGTGGTTATTTGTTCATAAGTAAGACAATAAAAATGATCGCTTTCGTTCACACCTATTTTTAACTGTTTTTATTCATTTTTAATGACACATTGTTTTTAAAAAATTCTCTTCGCGAAAGTAATTCAATTTTAAAACAATGATATGTACCTACTTATAGTTATTTTTTATGCTCCAAATTTTTTATTTTTATTTAAAAACTTTACAACTAACAAAGGTAACGCCGCCATTGTTCTACTTAATCAACCGTACTCATCTGTGCATACAAATAAAGTTGAAGTATCTGTCTGTACCTAATATCAAAGTAATCGTTTTTTTTTATGCTCATATAGTTAATTGAATGGTATTATGATCCCTAAAACACGGTTTATCTGACTGGCATGAAGAGAGATTGTCATATTCCTTCTAACATTCTAATTTTATTGCAAAATTATTTCCAATCGAGCAAATTTACTTCAAATTTTGGCATTTTTTCACAAATTCATTTAGCGTTGTATACAATTCCTAGGAAATGTATACCACTGCAAGGCTATTTAGGAAATGTATAAAATATTTTTTCAAATTGTTTTAATACATACATATGCTGGGAAATGTATACATTTCCTAGAAATTGTATGAAATTCCGATATAGTACTAGGAAATGTATAAAACTAATGTTTTCTGTGAATAAAATACTCTAACATATCAGCAGGGGCATTAAATAAATTCTAATTTGTCTTAATCTATCTAACCAAAAAATGACGTCAATATTTTATACATTTCCTAGACAGTAGATTGAAGATTCGGGCAAATGGGAGGAGCCTAAAAGCATGGCGCCGATTAGGGAAAATTTATCGTAATTCCTATAGTGTACCGTGCAATTTCCAAGTTTTTAAATTACGATAAAATGATAAGTATTGACACAATATGTGATTGGGCTGACACAAAGCCTCGGAAAGGAAATTTCGTTGAAGGTGAGCGTGTTTTTAATGCCAATCACATTATAAAATTCGGAAATAACAAATCCGGAAGCTAGCCTTCAAATTCCGTCAAGTTTACTGCCTACTTTTTACAAACTTCGGATTTAAAAAGTGATTCACGTTATATAATTGGTGAGGTGATTCTGGGTGATTTAAGCAATATCATATCAATGACTTGCACGTGCAAAGCCGATTTAAGAGAACGTTGCAAACACATTATTGCAACTTTGTTGTATTGCAGCAGGTAGGTTCTTAACCTCAAAATACTTATATCGTATCATTAGAATTGTGTTAAATCAATTACACAGGAATAAATAATTTCTCACTTTATAATTTTAGTATGATTCTAGTTTTAAATATTAAGGTTATGGCTGATGGTAAATACTTGCTGAAATATAATCATGTGCATTAAAATGACGTGAACAAATTTTTATTCCGGAATTCACTTCTTTGATACCTACTGCTTTCATCCAAGCTTCTATTAGTTTACTTTTTTCTCTAATTTTCCGAATATATTTTTTACATATATAAAACGGTTAGTTTTTATTGGAAAGTAGTTAATGTAGGTGAAGAGTGAAGATCTATGTCTGAAGTGCTATTGCAGCTTTTCACTGAACATATTAACTTTTTATTTGATTTAACTTTAGAAGAAAACTTCGTCGACTCCATCATCAAAAAAATTTTTACTTTTTTAACGTGTTTTATTATTTTAATAAACAATTTTACAATTTACGTGCACAGTTCCTATGTAAATTTTTCCCTCATTTGAATTGTAAATTTTGCCACCAGATGGTATATGCCCATATGACGGATCCCAATAGGGCCGTGGTTTAAGTGAACT